TTTAATTTTTACTGTAGCACTATGTCCTTCATTTTTTGGTTTTTCATTAGGAGTGAGGTAAAGCTGGACATGTTCCAAAGCATTATACTTTATAAAAGTAATATTTTTGTTTAGGTGACAAACAGCATGTTTGGTGCTACAAGAAAGAAGTTTGTAGAGGGGGTCGAGACCGACTACCATGACGAAAACATGTACTACGGCCAATCTTCTATGTTTTCACATCGGTCAGAAAAAGATGTAAGTTAATCAGTTACATTGTATTCACTCAGCAGTGCATGTCTGTTTAGGGTTTCTGAAAAGCAGCATATGAACTGCAGAGTACTGTCTTTTAAGTCACTATGTTGTAGGCATAATATTAAGACCCAAGACTGTAAAGATGAGGAATTGATACTCAAATGGAAGAGATATAGCTGTGATTGTCATTTTGGGATATGATAATGCTCTATAGTTGGGAGAAGGATGGGCATTTTCCTTCTGCGTGGTTGGTTAACTGCCTCTGAAAACCCACTGGAGGGTCAGCTCTGGGTCAGTTCTGACTCTATACTACTCAACAATGCTCTAATAAGTACTCAGAGATATAGGGTAAATATGGTCTGACTTCTGGATCATTTTTTCTTTTTTAATTGGAGAAATTGCATCTTTACAGGTAATATAGATAACAGAATATGCAGCAGATTTAGGCACAATTTAAAGATAAGATACCAGTAAAAACTACTTGGTGTAATTTTAGGACTATAATTCTAGACCTCAGTTAAGCACCTCTCCCCTAGCTTTAGGAATGCTACATAGAAAAAGAAATAAAAGTGTTGAAAGCATGGAAAACTGTATTTTTGAGGTACCAGTTAATTTTCAGAACACTGGTAGTTCTACTGGAATCCTTGCATAGCACGATTAAGTACCCAGGTGTGCACTGGCAGATACATGCCTGATGCTATGCTTCAAAAAGTTACAATTAAAAACAAACAAACAAAACACAAAAGTTAACAATCCTTGAAAACCTTAGGTTTCAGTCATAATTTGTCCACAAAGAGATGTCATGAGTCAGAATCTTATTGGCAAATGACAATAATTCAATAGTCCTGTTAGATACATAAGGATTAAGTTATAGATAGGTCTTACTTAGCAAACTTTTAAATGAAATTCAACTGTGGTTGTTGTTTGGTGCCATCAACTCACGTATGACTCATAACAACCTTAAGAACAACAGATCTGAACTCTCTCATTCTCTGTCTCATCTTCACAATCGCAGACACATTCTGGCTCATTGTTGTTGTCACTGTGTCAACCCACTGGTTGAGGATCTGCCTCTGCTTAGCCACCCCTCTCCCTTTCCAAGCATGATATCCTTTTTCAAGAAATAGCTTCTTGAAACAACTAGAGTGTGAGAAAAAGCTTCCCCATCCTTGCCTCCAAGAAGCACATTGGTTACACCTGCTCCAGGATATATCTATTTGTTCTTTTGACAGTCCATGGAATATTCAGTACTTTTCTTCAACAGTGTTAACATTCAACTGTTAGCATTTTCAAATTCTACTAAGCTACTTTAAATTATATCTTATACTCTATAGTGAAGCCACTTGTATCTTCATACATTGTACCTGCCCAACTTTTTCTCTTTTTAAACTTTTGTAAGTTTGGTATTCTTAATTATTCTGGCTTTGTAACAGTCTAAAAGAACCCTCCTGGTGGCATAGTACATGGCATTGAGTTGCTAATCAAAAGTGGGTCTGACCCACCAATTGCTCTGTGGAACAAAGATGGGCAGTGTCCTCCTGTAAAAATTTACAGCTTCAGAAACCTAATAGAGGCTCACTATGAGTCAGAACCACTGGATGGCAGTGGATTTGGTTTTTTGGAACTCTGGTGGCATAATTCTTAATGTTTTAGACTGTGAACTAGATGGTTGGTAGGTCAGTCCACCATTTGCTCCAGCAAAGAAGGATGGGCAGTCTACTCACATTGTGATTTGCAACGGGAAAAACCCAGTGGAGAGTTGCTCCAAATTGGGATCCACTGAGTGAAAATGCATTTGGTTTGGTCTGTTGTAATTATTTGCCTCATGATATTCTTACTGATATTTAAAACACTTAAAAGTTGTTATCCAATAAACCATTTCTTTCCTGTGGCTTTTTATAGAATTTTACAGATTAACCTGTGGTTAAATTCAGGCTTTTTGTGTTTTGTTTTCTGTTTTGATATCTGTTCATCTCTCCTTTTTTTATTTGACATTGTGTCGTTTGGTAACACATTATCAATTTTATTACTGAGATGTTTTTTAAATTATGTGTACTGGATTCCTCTATCATTATCTACAGTGTTACTAGAGAATGTATATTCTATTACTAGATTTTTAATGTAGATTATAGATTACTTTTTATGCAGATTTCTTGTTAAGTATCGATTTTGTAGATGAAGAATTTGAGTTATCTTTCTGATAGCTCACTGTAAAAACTAGAAAACAAATGTATGTTATGTGTGTTGTAGAAGTTTTAAATTTTATTATTTAATCTATTTTTTTACTGGTTTGCATGCAATTCTTCATACACGATATGTTTAGTTCGTGTACATTGTGCTTTATACAATGTTTCATTTTTGTGGCATTTCAATCATTCCTATGCATTATATATTATGTAATAAATTACTATTGATCTACACCTATTATTACCTTGTCTTTTCAAGTTGTCTTTGAATTTTTTCCTGTTCTTTCACCCACCAAACTCTGGTATTCTACTGCTTTCCGCCCTTTCCTTTTTCTGCCCCTTCCCCTTTTGGACTTTTATACACATCTAATTAATTATCGTCCTATTTTGAAAATAATGATCTTAGGAAGTTTTTGTCTTCATGAGACTGAGTTAGCTTACTCAACATAATGTTCTTTAGACTATCCCATGTTTTACAAAATTGTTATTTCGTCATACTGCATAGTATTCCATTTTATGAATGTACTATCGTTTCTTAATTTGTTTATGTGTTAAAGGTTATTTGGGCATATCTTGCTATTGTGAATAATGCTGCTACAAACATTGGTATACCTATCTCTGGTTGTGTCTTAGTTCTAATTTCTTTGGGGTATAATCCAAGCAGTGGAATAGCTGAGTCATAGGGGTTTTCTATGTTCAGCTTTTTGAGGAAATGCCAGAGACTGCCTTCCAGAATGGTTATACCATTTTATAGTCGTAACAGCAGTGCATGAGAGTTCCAGTCTCCACATCCTCTCCAACATTTAATGCCTTGTTCTGCTTTGCTACTGTTACTGTTTGGGTTTTGTGGTTTTTTTTTTTTGTTTTTTTTTTAATTTGCATCTCTCCCAAATACCAGTGATTTTGCAAATTTCTTCGTGTATCTGTTGGCCATCCTGATGTTGGTTTTGGGGTTTCTTTTTCATGTCTTTTGCCTGTTTTATTACTGGATTATCTGTATTTTCTTTGTAGAGGCCATGTTGTATTCAGTGAACTTTAGTTCTAAGATCTTGTTTCAGCTTAATCTAATAGATTGTCCTTGTAGATGACTCTTCGGTTAACTTTATATAATACAGTATAAGCTTATATTTAAATCCTCCAGGACATTCTAAAATATTTTCCTTTTAAAAGATTATACCATGCAACATGAATATCCCTGGGAGGCTCAGGACTTTGCCCAGTGATGTACAGTCCCTTTCCACAACGTTGGGGATAAAACTGGGCCTTCTTTCTGTGCCTGTTTATTCCTACAGTTTCTCAGAGTCATGTGCCAGTGACTGAGGAGACAAGACTTTTGGATATTTTTTTAAGATTATGTCAGATTTTACTCTCATCAACAGTTTTCTTACCATAATTACAAGCTTAATTGTTTTAATGCACATACACTAAATATTAATTTTACACACACACAGAAATAGTGCTGTTTTTTAACATTGTGTTGAGAGATACTTTTATCAACTGCATTATTTACCTAATTACCTGTTTTCTTCTAATACTTTTATGTTTTGTTGGTCACTTACCATTTAAATTTATTCGATAAGGATTTTAATTTAAGATATTACTTGTATGATACAACATTCATCTCTGTACCATCCTGTTCATCCCTTTGAAATTATTCAGTTGTCCAGCAGTTACTTACAAGTTAGACTATGGGTTATAAAACTTTTCTGTGAAGGGCCAGGTACTATTTTAGGCTTTATAAACCAAGATATGGAAAAAAAGTATAAAAAGAGGAGGGAAGGAATATATAGAGTCAATGTACCAAAAAGAATTCATTGACACTCAAAAATTTCAGGAAGTAATAAAAGCCAGCAGTAATGAAGGGAAAAGTTCAAGCTGCAGTGAAGGCAGTGGCAAAAATAAGTCCCCAAGAATCGGTGGAATTACAGTTGACATGTTTCAACTAATAGATGCAGTCCTGGATGCACTAAACAGTCTATGCCAGGAAATTTGGAGGACAACAACCTGACTGGAAGAGAGCCATATTTGTTCCCATTCCCAAGAAAGGTGACCCCACAGATGTGCAAATTATCAAACAGTATTGTTACTATCAAATGGCATGCAAAATATTTTTAAGCTCATCCAAAAATTGTTAACACAGTACCTTTACAGGGAAGTGTCAGAAGTTCAGGTAGGGTTTAGAAAAGGCTGTGTAGCATGAGAGATTGCTTAATGTCAGATGAATTCTAGCTGAGAATACTAGAAGGATGTCTATTTGTGGTGTTTTGTGGTTGTTGTTTTTTTTTGTCTATGGAAAGACATTTGACTGTGCGAATCATAATAAATTATGGCTAATGTTGAGAAGAATGGAAATCACAGAATACTTAATTGTACTCCTGTGAAACCTAACATTAGATCAAGAACCTCCTATCCAGACAGAGCAAAGGAACCCTGTGGTGGTGGTGGCGGTTGTTAGGTGCCATCAAGTCGTAGACAACTCAGAGCGACCCTATGAACGAAAGACCTGAACACTTGTGTAACTTTGATCATTTCTCCAAGTTCATAGAGTTTCCGGAGGCAAGCTATTTCAGAAGTGGATGTCATTCCTGCTTCCAAGCTTGTTTTAATCAGGGAGCTCCACCAAACACTATCCATCATGGGTAACCATTATAGCATTTGACACATCAATGTCACAATGTTCAGCATCACAGCAATCATGAGTTACTTCTGTACAGCAATGCACATACCAGTGCTATATCACTTAGAAGAATATTTGACCAAAAACAACTAAAACCAGGCTTGAGAACTGCAGATTAAAATCACCCACCTTTGGCTTGG